CCAATATCTGTGTTTATATTGCATTTTCTCTAGAGGACTGGTGGGCTGGACTCAACAGGTGGTTTTCAGCCACAGAAAAACAGAGTGAGGCAGAAGCCTTCATTTAAGTTGAACCTCCTCCATCATCTTTAGTTTTAAATTTCATTACCCTTTTCTATTTTTCATCCCTTTAAATAAGTTCATAAACGGTCCTCTTTTCAGCTTTATTTTGTTCCAATTGTTCTTAGAGAGTTTTAATTGAAAACAGCTGGACTTGACTGGTTATCTTAAAGACATTTCACCTCTCATCCAAAATCGTATTTGTTCTCGGGGAAACTTATCAAGGTCATGTCACAAGTCACCGATAATCTACACCAATGTATTCAAATCTTTTTTTAGCTTTCCCAAATTTTTTTGGAATACTTCCAAATGTCTCCTCCTTGAACCATCACCTTATCGTGGTGGAGGAGTTTGAGTGAGCGAGCCAGCCTGAACCGGATACATGGGCTCGTCCAACTGTGGACCCACCACCCGCAGGAGGAACATGAAGGGTCCGGTGCAATGCGAATCGGGTGGCAGACCAAGGCGGGAGCCTTGGCGGTCCAATCCCCGGACAAGAAAACTAGTTTTTGGGACATGGAATGTCACCTCGCTGGCGGGGAAGGAGCCGGAGCTTGTGGCAGAGGTTGAGCGGTACCGGCTAGATATAGTCGGACTCACCTCGACACATTGCATTGGCTCTGGAACCCAAGACCTGGAGAGGGGTTGGACACTCTACTTTGCTGGAGTTGCTCCGGGTGAGAGGCGGAGGGCTGGGGTTGGCTTTTTGTTAGCCCCGAGACTCTCTGCCTGTGTGTTGGGGTTTACCCCGGGGGACAAGAGGGTAGCGTCCTTGCGCCTTCGGGTCGGGGAACGGGTCCTGACTGTTGTTTGTGCTTATGGGCCAAATATCAGTTCAGAGTACCCACCCTGTTTGGAGTCCCTGGGACGAGTGCTGGATAGTGCTCCATCAGGGGACTCCATTGTCCTGCTGGGGGACTTCAATGCTCACGTGGGCAATGACAGCTTGACCTGGAGGGGTGTGATTGGGAGAAACGGCCCACCTAATCTGAACTCGAGCGGTGTTTTGTTATTGGACTTCTGTGCAAGCCGCAGTTTGGCCATAACGAACACCATGTTCGAACATAAGGATGCCCACCGGTACACTTGGTACCAGGGCAGCCTAGGTCACAGGTCGATGATAGATTTTGTAGTCGTATCATCTGACCTGCGGCCGTATGTTTTGGACACCCGAGTGAAGAGAGGGGCGGAGCTGTCAACTGATCACCACCTGGTGGTGAGTTGGATCAGATGGCAAGGGAACATGCCGCGTAGACCTGGCAGACCCAAACGCATAGTGAGGGTCTGCTGGGAACGCCTGGCAGAAGAACCTGTCAAGACGGTCTTCAACTCCCACCTCCGGCAGAGCTTTGACCACGTCCCGAGAGCAGTGGGGGACATTGAGTCCGAGTGGGCCTTGTTCCACTCTGCGATTGTCGAGGCGGCTGTTGCTAGCTGTGGTCGTAAGGTGGCCGGTGCCAGTCGTGGTGTCAACCCCCGTACCCGCTGGTGGACACCAGAGGTTCGGGGAGCCGTCAGGCTGAAGAAGGAGGCCTAAAGGGCGTGGCTGGTCTGTGGGTCTCCGGAGGCAGCAGACAGGTACCGGATAGCCAAGCGGGGTGCAGCAGTGGCAGTTGCCGAGGCTAAATCTCGGGCGTGGGAGGAGTTTGGTGAGGCCATGGAGAAAGACTATCGATCGGCTCCAAAGAGGTTCTGGCAAACTGTCCGGCGCCTCAGGAGAGGAAGGCAGCAACTCGCTCACACTGTTTACAGTGGGGATGGGGAGCTGCTGACGTCAACTGAGGCTATAGTCGGACGGTGGAAGGAATACTTTGAGGAGCTCCTCAATCCCACCAATGCGCATTCCGAGGAGGAACCAGAGCTGGGAGGCCTGGGGATGGACTGTCCAATCTCGGGGGTAGAAGTTGCTGAGGTAGTCAAACAACTACACAGCGGCGGAGCCCCGGGGGCGGATGAGGTTCGTCCTGGGTATCTCAAGGCTATGGATGTTGTAGGGCTGTCATGGTTGACACGTCTCTACAACATTGCGTGGTCATCGGGGGCAGTTCCTAGGGAGTGGCAGACCGGGGTGGTGGTCCCCATCTTTAAGAAGGGTGACCTGAGGGTGTGTTCCAACTATAGGGGGATCACACTCCTCAGCCTCCCTGGAAAGGTCTACTCCAAGGTACTGGAGAGGAGGGTCCGATCGATAGTTGAATCTCAGATAGAGGAGGAGCAATGTGGTTTTCGTCCTGGCCGTGGAACTGTGGACCAGCTCTATACCCTTGCAAGGGTGATGGAGGGGGCATGGGAGTTTGCCCAACCAATCCACATGTGCTTTGTGGATTTGGAGAAGGCTTATGACCGTGTCCCCAGGGGCACCCTGTGGGGGACGCTCCAGGAGTATGGGGTGGGTGGCTTTCTGTTAAGGGCCATTCAGTCCCTTTACCAGAGGAGCGTGAGTTTGGTCCGCATAGCCGGTAGTAAGTCGGACCTGTTCCCAGTGAGGGTTGGACTCCGCCAGGGCTGCCCTTTGTCACCGGTTCTGTTCATCACTTTTATGGACAGAATTTCTAGACGCAGCCGTGGTGTGGAGTGTGTCGAGTTTGGTGGCAGGAGAATCTCGTCTCTGCTTTTTGCGGATGATGTGGTCCTCCTAGCTTCATCCAGCTCTGACCTTCAGCTCTTGCTGGGTAGGTTCGCGGCCGAATGTGAAGCGGCTGGGATGAGGATCAGCACCTCCAAATCCGAGACCATGGTTCTCGACCGGAAAAGGGTGGCTTGCCACCTCCGGGTCGGGGGAGAGGTCCTACCTCAAGTGGAGGAGTTTAAGTATCTCGGGGTCTTGTTCACGAGTGAGGGTAGGAGGGATTGGGAGATCGACAGGCGGATTGGTTTGGCGTCTGCAGTGATGCGGACGCTGAGCCGATCTGTCGTGGGGAAGAGGGAGCTGAGCCAGAAAGCCAGGCTCTCGATTTACCGGTCGATCTACGTCCCAATCCTCACCTATGGTCATGAGCTTTGGGTAATGACCGAAAGAACGAGATCGCGGATACAAGCGGCCGAAATGAGTTTCCTCCGTAGGGTGGCCGGGCTCAGCCTTAGAGATAGGGTGAGGAGCTCGGACATTCGGGAAGGACTCGGAGTAGAACCGCTGCTCCTCCGGATCGAAAGGAGCCAGTTGAGGTGGTTTGGGCATCTGGTCAGGATGCCTCCTGGACGCCTCCCCGGGGAGGTGTTTCGGGCATGTCCTGCCGGCAGAAGGCCCCCGGGTCGACCCAGGACACGTTGGAGAGGTTACATCTCCAGTCTGGTCCGGGAACGCCTTGGGGTCCTGCCGGAGGAGCTGGTGGACAAGGCCGGGGAGAGGACGGCCTGGAGCTCCCTAGTTGGGATGCTGCCCCCGCGACCCGGACCCGGATAAGCGGAGGAAGACGACGACGACGACGACTTCCAAATGTTTCTATACATTTTTACATCCAAACATTTCTGTAGGGTCAGAATTTGCTGAGTGCAAGAGAACAGAAACTTATTTGGAAAAATATTTTACACTAAATCTTGTGTGTTTCAATAAAATGTAAAAAACTGATTGTCTCAATATCTCATATTTTATTGTGTAGTCAGTTTTCCTTTGTTTGCTACAAGCCATACTTTTAATTTGCATAAAGATAAACAGTAAATTAATCGACTTTAAAAGGTATTGGCAGATTCCAAATATTGTTTCAAAAATCACACATATGTAATGACCAGACTGGAGAGCACCGTGAAGACAACCGAGACACAGTAAAACCCTTTAAAGTTTTTATTGTGGAACATAGAGGAATGTTACCAGTCTGAAGGAAGGGCTGTAGCAGAGGCTTAGTCAGGAGGAGAGCGGGGGTCAGAGCTGGGGAGATCAGAGTAGTTCCAAAAAGGGGATGGAAAGAGGCAGAGTCCAGGATCCAGGTCCGAGATCAGAAATCCTGATAATCAGATGCACGAGATACTCCAGGCAGGGTGTAGGCAAAGGGGTAATCCAAAGGGCCAGAACAGGGTTGAGATGCGAGAGCAGAGGATCAAGAGTGGTGGAGAATCTACTGGGAAATGCTTTAACAATCTGCCATTGGCTTAGTGTTGGTCCTGGTGTTATATAGGGAGCGTTGCAGGTGGAGCTGATGAAGAGTTCATGTGAGACAGGTGGTTTGGATGAGGCTGATGGTGAGCTGGTTGTGGTTGCTGGGGAAATGGGGCTTGGCTGGAGCAGGGGCATGGCAAAATGACTCCATGTTGTTGAAATTAGCCAGTTTTCATGTTTTCAGCAAGTTCAAAACTGCAAAAGGGAAGCAATTTACATCTCGGCAGGGCAAAGCTAAAGCTCAGATGTAAAAGAGCAAAATGTTTTCATCACATCTAGTTATTTCTGCATGATATTGACACATAAATAAATTATCTTTTTTTTTTTTTACAGGAGTACCTCAAGGCTCAGTGCTGGGTCCCTATTGCTTTGTCGTTTACATCCCCACCTTGAGCATCCATGGTGACCCCCCTCACAAGGCTTCAGGTTCACACATGACCCAATGCACCTTAACATGTTTCCTGATAACTATTTAAATTCAGTGTCCAATAAATAACATCTTTATTTTAAAGTTTAAATAAAAAAAGTACAAAAGTTGGGTATTCAGTGAATAAGCAGATTTGGAGCTTGATGAGAATGAGAAAACCCTTCAACTAACTCAAAATAATTGTGCTGCAGTGGAAAAACTCCAGGAAACAACCAGTTTACCAAATCAAGGGTTTTGACAGTGACTTGACTTTCTTTATAAATTACAGGACAACATTTCAGAAACTATGTGACCTTAAAAATAAGTTAAAATAACTACAAGGCCTACAAGAAAGCAGAAAGATGTTTGAACAGAAGTGACATTTCTCTCCATCCTACTCACCTGTGTTGTAATGTTTGGTGCAGTAACGCAGGTCCTTCTCTTCTTTGAGAATAAACTGAGGTAAAGTCAGGCCGTCTGCCACCTGCACAGCTCCCTTCTCGTCCCACTCAAAAATGAGGTCGTTCATGGTGTAGCCGACTGGAAGAGAGAGCAGGGAGCAGTATGTCAGACTGGGTGCACTGATTATTAAAAGAAAATATATATTTTTGTTCTCTCACCACTTTTAGAAAGACTGAGAAATCACATGAACAATGAAAACAAAAAAGCTAAGCCAAATATAAGATATGTATAAATATTTTTTTGGGGAGGGAGGGGGGGGGGGGGGGGGTAATGGTTATAATTCAATATATGGTAATAATAATTTAAACTAATATATTTTTAATATTAAATTTAATTTACTTTCCTATTCAACTGACTTCACAGGTTTTTTGTCATTTAGACATGTATATACAGACAAGAATATATGTCATTATCGCATGTGCTTCAAAATGTATCGCAATATAGATTTAGGCCATATCGCCCATTCCTAAATCTACGTGTCGCTCAGCTTGGCATATTCTGCCACATCCACATGAATGTATTCAGATGCTCCATCTATAATCCCTGTTGTAATCAGAATCAGATTTTTTTTTTGCTAATAACAGAAAACACACAAGGAAATTTGGCTGTTGGTAGCTTCAATAATATAGAGACTCTTAAAAAATTCAAAAACTGAAGATGCAATCAAAAGTTACGGCAAAGCAGTAAACAAGGCCAAAGGTAGCAACAAGTGATAACTGGTGCCGCTGATCACAAGCCATTGTTTCCGCTGGTCTGTGATCTAGACAGTTTCACTCTATACCCTCATTGTTCTGAGTTTTGATGCTGCTGGTGATCAGTGCATGTTTGTCGACCTCCTGTAGATGTACTGATAAGAACTCTTTGTACTTTCTCTGTGATTCCCCTCACGTCTGCTCGGGAATCAAAAAGCCACAGAGAAACCTATACCACAGCTCTCCCCCCGCCATCACTGATTGACTGATGCTTCTGTCACTTTCTGTGTGCGTGTGTGTGTGTGTGTGTGTGTGTGTGTGTGTGTGTGTGTGTGTGTGTGTGTGTGTGTGTGTGTGTGTGAATGCTCACAGCTCTCTAGCTGCATGATGCAGGTCTGGACATCCATCGGGAAGTTTTTCAGATCCATAGGACAGGCCAGGACCAGAGTTATTCTGCAACACACATATGAACAAACACACGCAAATGACACTATTGAATAATTACATGATAGTGATCTAAAACATTAGATTAGCTCTATTATGCAACAGTTAGTGGACTTTATCTGTAATGAGTACATGTTTATATGAAAACTGTGGGACGTTGTCCGACTACACTAAATGTTGTTCTCAGTGATAATCTCCTGCCCCCAAAAGGAAAAATATAAATAAATAACATCCTCTTAAGCTATGGCTTTCTGCCTGCTCAGTGTTCGCTGTCAGCATGTTGTCATAATGAGCAGAAGCTGATTTGACTTCACGGTTTCAGTCCTTCTGTTCTTCTCTAACTGGACACCCACTGCGACAACACACACGTCCCATTGGGCTGATGTACCAGATAAACTTTGCCGCGTCTGCACATTGCTACGAATCCTTGACAGGAGGTTTTACTCACATGATGTAACGAGCACAGATGTGCTGCTTTCTCACAAAGATGTTGAGCTGTTTCCTTTCTTCACCTCAACACCAAATGCTGACTGAGCAAAGAGCTCCCCCCACCCCCCCACATTGCCGTAAAGGTGACGAACCTCCAACCCTGCTGGGGTTTGTGCTTTTAATGAACTGCTGTGTTTTTTTCTTTTTCTTTTTTATTTCACCATTGTAAAGGATGAAATATCTCATACAAACCAAGTCCATTCAATTGGTGCAATTGTTTCTCCAAAACCCTGGCCCATTATCATGTTTTGTTCCTCTCTCAGGAGGCATTTGCAACTTTTCTTACAAAAAAAATTGACATCAGATTAGTGGTTTGTCATGGGATGTATCTGAGATAGAACAGAGTTTTATTACAACCCAAAAGACAAGTGTTTTGGTGAGAAATAGCCTCTGCTAATGCAAAACCAATAGAAGAAAAAGACTGAAGGAGGCAGAAGGATATGGAGGTTTTTAACCTGAAAAAGGGTTTCTTGTTCTTGTGGAGCAGAGGATATTTTGTCATGAAAAAATGTCATTTTGACACTGAAGTCAAACAGCTGACAGGAGGGGAATAAAATCTATGTTTATGCTATTTCTCTCAGCATGCCTGGAATGGATTTGCAGGCATTCAGGTAGAAATGGTGTCAAGGAAAATAAGCTCTCATAATGTGACTCTGCCCAATCTGTAGAGCTACGAAAGTCGAGGTCACCTCACTGCCCCCAGATTTTTATTTTTCTGTGGGGAGAAATGTTTCTTCTCTCCAGCTGTTTTTGCAACATTTTTCTAAACTTGTAGAAGTGTTTCTTCATGCGTCATTTCATTTGACTTCTTTGTGTCAAACGCTGATTCTTCCTGTTTTGTCATGCCTAAATATAAACCACAAAAACACTAGCGTTGTAGAAGGGGTTTGGTGATTATTTTTCCAGAGAAAAGGAATTAGTTTTCACCATCAAAGGTAGTTGTAGGATGTTCATCTTAAGTCATTTTCTACAGAAATCATCCTTCATCTTGACCGAAGCATCAGAAGGTTAAAATTTAATGTCTATACTTTTACACTTCTCTGTTTACTTCTTATGAAAGAGGTGTCAAGTCAATTCATGCATTTTGATTAAGTAAAATAGTAGAACCACCTGATGCGAAAAATCAGATTTTAAAGATCAAGTTCACTGAGAAACTATTTTTACTTGTTATTTTTGAAATACAATCAGTCACTCTGAGTTTAACATGCAGGCTAAATGTGAAAATAGTCTCCTACACATATTTCCTGCATTAGCTGTTGATAGAAGATGGCAAACACTCAGATTAGAAAAAGCATCACAGATATACGTCACATTGAAAATTGGCATGCACAAACTCACCCAACATGATTCGTGGCGGGAAAAGCTGTTGTTGCTTTAGCGCCCAGGAAACAGTGTAGAAAGCCTCAATTAGCTAACTGCTAACAGCCAACTGTTAACATTAGCAACTCCACCACACAGCAGAATTCCCTCAGCCTTGTGTTATTTAAGGAGATAAAACATCAACATTGCAAGGCAAACAGACTCAGTGGTAGAGTTGTCTTGCTGTCAGCCAATCAGAGGCGAGATGTCAAGATATCAGGAAGTAAGACTCCAAATCCTGTTATCTGCTGCTCACCTCTCATCTGGCTAACTTCTACTTACTGAAACAGGAACGCCAGAGCTTTTTTGCCAGAGATCGACTCACAAGTCATTCATTTATTTTAAAGACAACTGCAAATGTGTTAAAAAAGAGTGAACTTGGTCTTTAAAGAAACATAATCACTGGTACCTGTTTTTAAACTTCAGGTTCAGCTGAATCATCATTTTATGAAAGCACAGCTAAACAATAATTTTTGAGGAGAATAATCCAATTTCTCTCATTGTTTTACATTATATTTTATTTTTATTTTCCAAGAACTTAGAAAAAAATCTATGGATATTTCCTGTAAAAGACACAACACAGTTCATGGAACTAAACGCTCATACATTTCCCCTTTATTGCTCTTGACTTCCACAGATCAGCCCAGCACTTGTATTTGAAGTGCAGCAGGAGATTACACTATTTGTGAATCTGCCCATCCAATCTTTAAAACTTCACTTTCATCCTATGGGAAAAGGCATCGTCGGCAACAACGTCCCCTCTTATAGAGATAAACATCAAAAAACAGAGTAAACAACTTTCACATCACCCCCCTCTTTCAGTCCCAGCCCCGGGGTAGTTTAATACCCAGAGTTGCCTCTGAGATGGAGCTGATCAACAGGGGGTTCATTCTGATGATGTCAAGTTAAAAAATGAAAGGCACAGAGGAGGCGTGCAGGGTGCATCCAAGCTCTGACGATATTTATAAAGGCCAATCATACTCCTCCTGCTCCTGCTGGACATGAAGGTGAAAACCGAGGCTGATAACGGATCAGAGTCGCTGCAAGAATACTAACAGGCTGAGTAGATTACGGTGCCTGCTGCTGCAGTGCTTTTTCATTTGCCCCTGAGCAATAAAAGCAACATGGAGACTGAAAGGATTGTCAGCTGAAGGAGGTTATAACTCTGACAGCCTTGAACAGCAGATACAGAAGGAAAAAAATTAGTAAGTGGCTGGTAAAAGCTCTCAACTTCAACATGACAAGATTAACCCATTTAAGAAAATGAATGTCTCCAGAATAAAGCAAACAGACATGTTTCAGATCAGCACTGATGTAAATGTCAATCCGTTTCTTAAATTAATGCAGCGTTGATTCGTTATTGCACTTTTCAGCAAAGACCATTTAACTTTAACTCATCAAAAACAGAAGAAATGTTTTTTATTTTCTTTTGTATCAACAGCAGCAAACACATCCTTTACAGTAAAATAAAAACAAAACTTCTAAAAGCTTGAAAACCTCTGAATTCCTCAACCACAAAAGTTGAGTCTTTCTTTTGTCTGTTTAGTGAATACGGGCCCTCATTAACTGGTTCTTTAAAGCAAAACAGAACCTTCTGTGTTGGTAGGAAGTGGCCAGGATTTTAAAATCTGTTGTAAAAAATGTGAACAGTCAGTGGTATTTCGATATTACACGGTTCACATTTCGTGGCCTTGCAGTTTCCCAGATTTTATTTTGTGCAATTTTGCATGCTTGTTTGTACAGTGCATAATGTTTTTTGTCCAATGGTACAAATATTTGAAGTTTGAGTGTTTAAACAATAGATAAAAGTATGAAAATGTTAATGTCTGTCTGAGAAAGTGTCTAAAGTGTGTGGTGAGGGGTTTTACACAGTGGCGGTGCATTGGAGTGAGCATGTCTGCGGGGTAGAGGATAGCGGCTGTGTCAGGGGGAGCGCAGTGCACCTGCTGGAGCATTTTAGTAATTTGCAGCAAGAGCCTGAAATGCTGGAGTGTGTGTGTGCAAATAAAACTGGTCACCCATGCATGCATGTTGGAAATAAAACTGTTGAGAAACTGACATTCTACTGTGTTGCGTGCATGACCTCAATAGTTGCTGTGTATGCTACAAAGATCTATAATATAAATCTGACTACTTTTCGGATTTCGCCTATCGTGGGTTATTTTGTGAAAGTAACTCTTGTGAAAAACATGGGTCCACTGTAAATGACACATTTGCTAACAGGAAGTCTGAAGTCAAAGCAGCTAAAGAAACATAGAAGCGACAAGATACAGATAAGAGGTATAAAAATACAAACATGAAGCAAAACTGAGTAGGAAATAATTGATGCATAAGAAAAAAATTATTTAAATGGTCAAAGAATGTGTAATATCATTACATCACCCTTTACTGAAACAGCCCAAAAATGTTTGGAGAATAAAAATATAAAACAAGGCTGAAGTTTTGTTTTTAAAAAACAAAGAAAACAATCTTTTATTTAGAGCTTTTATATATAAAATTCACGAGGCGCTTCACAAGAACAAAAATAAAGAAAATAAAAATGAATTACAAAAATCAGAAAAACAATTTAAAAAATGTGATTGAAATATGTAAGAAAAGGGAAAGAGAAAGTGAATGAGAAAGCTGTTCAGATGAAGTTTGTTTTGATTTATGCATCATTCATTTTCACTAACTTCTGTCTGACTCAAACTAACTTCATTAGAATAGCGGTGTCCAAAATTTTCTATATTAGGTAAATTTAAAAGTCCCATTGAGCCACACAATGTATTTTATGATGATTTTATATTTGAGCACCTCAAAAGAAGGAACAAATTAGACACTTTAGTAAAAGTCTGAACATAAAAATGCTTTAAAAAAAGTCTGTCTAGACTGCTAGAGAAAATTTCACCAGTTCAGAAATACAAAAGGTACCACGAAGCCTGCGAAGGCCTGCCTCATCCAGAACACATCATTTAAAAATCATTCTAAAATAGCTATACTATTTTTAAGCTTTAAAATATTGACTTCTGTTTTTCACTTTTATAATCAAAATATTGAAGAAGAGTCTGAGGGAAGATACCCAAGGGGAGGGGTGAGTGCTCCGTGACCATGTTTGCATTCAAAACCTACCGTGTTCTGTAGATTCGCTGAAGCAGCTTTAATAAAATTTACAATAAAATAATTCCCACTACATACGCTGGTAAAACAAAACAAAACTAAAGACCAAACAGCAACAAAACCACAATAATTTACTTAACGCTCTGGCATCACTGATATCACTTCTCATCACCTTCATTTACCACCCTGTTGAGTCATAAGAGGACAAAACCATTCACATGTAAAAGTGGCCATAACCCTAACCCTTTAAAATAATATTTTTTGTTCATAGAACTATTAAACAACATCGGCCCAGCTCAAAGCTATAATTTTGAGGATTTTCACCTTTGAAATTCGTGTTTGAGTACTTAATGTAAAAATGCTGCATTTATGTAACAAACTAATAAATAAACAAATAAATTAAAGAGTTATTTTCAAAAACAAAGAAACAAAAAAGCTATTTTTGTGCCCCGGGCATTTATTACAAATTAGTTTTTTTAATGTTTTGAAATATTTATAATCACATAATGCATGATTATTTTTTTCAGAATGGAAGCCATTGAGACTTTTGTTCTGAAGTGGCACGAGAGGGTAGTAAATAATAAATGTCCTGCTACACAAACCTCAATATTGCTAAATTTTAACATTTTAGATATTTCATAATATAACCAAGACTGATTTATTATTAATGTCCCAGGCACCAAAATTAGTGTTTTGAAAAATAATTATTTTCACAAAAAAGTCATTGATCCTTTCAATGAAGATTATGATAACACACAAAACAAAAATAAAAGACAAAAAAAAAATTAAAATAAATAACATTCAGGCTAGAAATAAAGAGAATCCAGAAAAAAATTCTTAAATGAATGAAATCTGTTTAATGATGATGAGTGAGTAGTCCAGCATATATTTGTTTATTAGTGGAAATATGTTTAATTTTGCACTGTAAAAGCATTTGAAAAGTCTTTGTAAAATCAAACTAACTCAAGCAACCACAAAACAAACAAAATATTAAGCAAAACACATCGTGATGAAGCAGTCGGTTAAAGCCAAACGCCTCCTTCACCTACCGTATGCTGTAAAGCACATTTCCGTTTTTCGAGATGCGCAGCAGCTTGTTGTCAGTGGTGACCTCATGAAAGTTGGCCCCTTTCTCGTTGGCAAAGAACAAATCAGGTTTCCAGATAGAGTCCAACATAGACGGATCAAGGTCCAGCGAGTCATCGGGATATTCGCTGTAGGCCAGCCGAGGGTCATTCCACTGCTGCCTCAGGAAGATGTTCACTCTGTAGTCCTGCATTAAGAAGAAAAGGAGGAAATACACAGAAGGGTTAAAGGGAGGGAGGAGGAAGAGAACAATACAGGAAACAAGTTTTGGAGCTGATGAGAAGCAGGATGATGTTTGTGGAAACACTATGTTAAGTCCACAAATGATCAGTTTTCACCCACAGACATCGGTCATCTACAGACCTAATTCCATCCTATGAGGTGGATTTTATATTCTATCTGCCAACAAGCCATAAGATCCTGCACTGCTTGTTGACATCTCTGAATCATTACATTAACATCATGTTCCTTCCAAGGTCCCTCACAGAGCACCCTTTTATCTAAGACTCCTTGCTTCACAGAAGAAAGAAGATTTAAAATTAAATATGAACTTCTAAAACTTATAAGCTGGATAATCATTAAATACATGTTTGTTTATTGCTACTTATAATAATTATAGTATAATGAAATGTTTTCATTTATCTGTGCTCAATGATTGAAGTTTGAAATGAATGTTATGTTATGATTACAGTGATTGAAAAATGTTTCAGCATGTTGATATGACAAGGTCATAATCATTTGCACTCACACAAGGACAAAGTAAAACCAGTAAAGTAAAGTAAAACCAATGTCACATAAATAGTCCTTTACCCCAGACCAGAGCCCCCGTATCAAAGAAGGCGTGTGTTTCTGAGACTCTTGGTAATATTCCTCAAACTTGTCAACCTCTGGTTGGCTACACAAATCATAACATGAGGACATTAAAACCAGATTACGCTGGTGGTTCCCTGAGTTCTTGAGAAAAGCTTCAGACCAGCCAGCTGAAGTAAGACCTCTTTAACCCATCAAAGTTTTGACACGTCGTCAAAACCTTTTTTGCACTTGCAAAGCTGATAAAGCAACGGTTTCTGCAGAACAAGCTGATATTGTTTAGACTCCTTCAGAGTCCAGACGCACGGTTCCATCCATCTGTCGTGACCCGAGACATCTCTGGACTGAAGAGTCGGTGCCACGGTTAGGGTTGTCACGGTAACCGGTATAGCGGTAAACCCCGGTAAAAAAGTTGACAATAAAAATAACCGTCCAGTTTTTAAAAAACTAAATTATCTCGGTGGGTTTACCGTGGCCGCGGTTTCGGCGTGGTGACCCTTACCAGCCACCGTCGCTTCAGCTGAAGTTCCCGCGGCGCGCACACGCACTTTTTAACCCCCAAATTCCACTACCTCCATTCCGCTCCGCTCCGGTCCGCCCCCGCCTTCCGCAGCCGCTCGCTTCCGAACTCAATTTTTACTGGTACCCGCTCTACAACGGCTCCGCTCCGGTGCGGAGACCTGAGGGGGGCAAACAAGCATGCGCGGGACTTTCGAGATCTTGCGATACAGTCCGAGCAATAAACGCGGAAGTTAGATCCAAACACCCGTTGTGTGGGAGAAGCATCGGCATGAGCTGTTTAATCTGCCCATCATTTGTGTTGAGAGATCAGCAGTGTTTGGATCAACAAAGTGTGTCTACTTTGATAGTAGAAACTGTATTTATGGCTTACTTTTGTGCATTTAAACTTCAGCCGCCATTGATAGTTGTTAAAAGTTGTTAAACCTGTGCATATGAAACAAAAAACGCCTTTTGTTTATCGATTTATTGTGAAAAACGGAAATTGTGCTTGCTCCTTTTCCTGTTGGGTGGTTGTGATTTCTGTCCATTTACTGCGGAGGTGCTCCGGCGTCCGGCAAAAATAGGATCGATTCTATTTTTGCCGAACGCCGGAACAGAGGGCGGCGCACAGCGCCGCACTGCCGGAGCACGGCCGCAGTAGTGGAATTGCTCTGATTGACTACAACGGGACCGATTTTGCTCCGGCGTTCGTGTCGGAGCGGAGCGGAGGTAGTGGAATTTGGGGGTTAATCGGAAGTATGGGCATATTTTGGATTTCTGAAAAATGCTGAGGGACAGTTAATAGAAGACTGCTATCCCGTTTGCAGAACGTGCAGGAAACAAGTGTCTGCAAAAGGCAGCAACACTTCGAATCTAATGGCATATCTGCGTGACCATCACCCACGTCTCTACAGCCAGTGCAAGGTAAGTTAACATTAGCATTTTAGCTTACATGCATGACGTGAGGACTTTTGGTTGAGGGAGAATACAACGAGTCACTATATACTGCAGCCGCAGCGTCCTCTGCCAGCATTTAAACCGTGTCACGGACACCCTGTTGCTGGATGAAGCATCTTATTTGTTGATGATGAAGAGAAATATACAATTAGTTCCTTGTCATTGATTTGTTTACTTATTCAATGCCATTTATACTTGAACATTTGGATTTGATTAAATAGTGTAGTAGTTATTTTAGTAATTTGTTTAAAGTGACTATTTATTTTAAATACATATTTTTTTAAGTGTTGACTTGTACAGTGCTCAAGTCAAGTGTGGACTGGAGTTTTAGATTTTCATTTTGATAATGAAGAAAACAAGTATATGAGAAAACAAGTGGTGTTTCTTTGATTTGTTTACATATTGTCTATGTTTTGAATGTTTGGATTTGTATAATTTAAACCTGCACTGGCTACTGTAACATGTTCCAGAAAAAGAAGCTATTTGTTCCTTTACTTGTGAAAAGTTGCACTTTTGCTAAGGCTTTGTGTTATTTTAGGTTTAATAAACACTGTTAAACCTTTTCAAAACTATTTCAGTTTGTGTAGAACAGGACTATCAATGCTTTCTGAACATATGCAACACTGTTTAAAAAATACCGCGATAATACCGAAAACCGTGATAATTTTGGTCACAATAACCGTGAGGTTAAATTTTCATACCGTGACAACCCTAGCCACGGTATTCTACAGCCCTCCGGTGCCAGAGGTCACCCGACCTCTCTGGCCTTCGGATCCACCAAGAGGGTCTCCGAAAACGGGTGAGGTAGACACACAGATTGCGTCTGATGTGCTTTTGATAATAATCAACTTCATAGCTTAACACACACCAAATTCTTTTACATCCAGAACTCAGCTCTCCTAAATACGGATGTTCTGACTAACATCGCATTCACACATAGGTTTCATACATCACATCTAGTTCCATCCATCACAGTAAATGCTTAGTTAACTTGTCATCTTTTAATTGTTGGTAAAATAAATTCTTACTTTTATAAACCTGACTCTTTTCTGAATCAAAACGAAGTGTGTACAATCCCCTAATGAATAAAGAATCCTAGAATCTTCTGCGAAACACACACAGACCAAGCAGGGTTGATATTCTATATTTAGATAGAGTATCACAGCTTAGTGGTCATAAGTAGAGGTAATATATATTGAGTTCTTAAAGCACTCAATTTACCAAATTCTACAACAACACTGGCTCTGGCTCAGATTTAAACTGACTGTATGAATCTCAGAGGAATTTTAAAAGCAACTCTTTATATTTACAGAAAAAATACATATATTTCAATCTGAATCAGTTTTAAAATCACCAAAATCTAAAATATATATTTCAGGTATTTTAAAGTGCCTGTCTTAAATTTATAAATGACAAATATAGACATGGACAAAATGTGTTGGTACCTTTTGGTCAATGAAAGAAAAACCCACAAGGGTCACAGAAATAACATGAATCTGACAAATAAAAATACTAAAAACTTTTGAATAGTCCAATATTTTCCTCTTAGCCATTCTTGGGTGTTTTTAGCTGTGTGTTTTGGGTCATTGTCCTGTTGCAAGACCCATGACCTGTGACTGAGACCAAGCTTTCTGACACTGGCCAGCACATTTCTCTCTTGATAGTCTGGAGGTTCATTGTACCCTGCTCAGATTCAAGACACCCTGTGATGCAGCAAAGCAGCCCAAAACATAACAGAGCCTCCTCCATGTTTTACAGTAGGGTCAGTGTTCTTTTCTTGATATTCTTCATTTTTCTGTCTGTGAGCATAGAGCTGATGAACATCTGCAAAAAGTTCCATTGTTGTCTCATCTGTCCATAGGACCTTCTCCCAGAAGCTTTGTGACTTGTCAACATGTAGTTTGACAAATTTCAGTCTGGCTTTTTATGGTTTGTTTTCAACAATGGTGTCCTTCTTGGTCGTCTTCCATGTAGTCCACTTTGGCTCAAACAACGACGGATAGGGCGATCTGACACTGATGTTCCTTGAGCTTGAAGTTAACCTTGAATCTCTTTAGAAGTTTTTCTCAGCTCTTGTGTTACCGCTTGGATCATCCGTCTCTTTGATTCGTCATCCATTTTCCTCCTGCGGCCACGTCCAGAGAGGTTAACTACAGTCCCATGGATCTCAATTTTAGCCTTTACCTTTAACAGGCTTGTCTAAAATTTTCTTTCTAATCTCCTGAGACAACTCTTTCCTTTGCTTCCTCTTCGAGTGTGGTACACACCATGCGACCAAACAACACAGTGACTACCTGGAGCCCGATCTATAGGCCCACTGAGTGATTACAAAGTTGTAGAAAGCTGTGATGCTAATTAGTGGACACACCTTGAATTAACATGTCCCTTTGGTCACAATATTTTCAGTCCTTTCTAGGTGTACAATCATTTTTGTCCAGGCCTGAGTTTATTTTTTTAATAATTCCATTGAAGCATGGTTGAGAAGCAATGTCTGACTTTGACAGTTAAAATTTCATAATTTTTAAAGATTTTTTTATTACTTTTGTCAGATTCAAGTTATTTCTTTGACAGACTTTCTACTTGCACTCTTCTGGTTGTGTATAAGGATGATTATCACAGCTAGCAGTAAAGTGCTGCCTTTCTGGTGCACCCAGCATGCATGCCGGTTTGAAATTTTTCATTTATTTTCCTGAAATGAAAAAAATGCAAACAATTTAAGGGTTTCTAAAATAATGTCTGCATAAAACCCAAGATTATAACAGCTTTAGGATGACAGCAACACAGTTTAGTCTTGGCTGGTTTGGACTAAGCTTGTCACGGTTCCAGTCTTCTAGCCATCCACTTCATAATAGGCCAGACCTAGGACTTCACTTGCCAGCAGTCCCCGCATTGGTATTCACCTCTCCACGTCATCACGCT